AACGCAAAACTTAAAACGCTTAAAAAACCGAAACAGAAACCTGCAATTGATTTCAATATTTCAGCAGCATTGTATCTTTCACACAAAAAATATTTAACTGTAGTTCGCTGAGAGTGTGAGTGTGCCATTTTATCGTTGCGTAAATCAATATATATGGACGTACACTTTGAGAAAATTAAATAATAAAAATATTTACGTTTAAAACTAGAGTAAGAAAAAGTATATATTATAAAAGTGTTATACTCTGTTAAGAAAACAATTCTTTTAACAAACTGAAAGCTTGAAAATTCAGGTGTTGCCATTCGTATCTGCATATACATATATACTTCAATGAACTATACATATATCATACATCATAAATCATAAAAAAAACATTTAATGCTTAATACATAAAATGATATATATTTTTGTGAATTTTTTTAAAGAAAACAAAAATTAAAACAAGAAGATCCTTTAAGGTTGATATTTTTTCCAATCAGTAAAACAAATTTTAAAATAAACAACAAAGAAAACTAATTTACAAATGAATTATAGGATCATATCGGAAATCAAACATAACTAAGCTTAAAAGATTTCCATTCTTCGAATCCATATTTTTCAAGATTTTTATATGTAATTTTTTCCAAATAACCAAAATTTTAAAAACTCATAACTAATCCAAAAGACCATTAATTTTGATTCGGAAAGCTTTCATGTATAAGTTTTTAGAACGTTTATAAATCTGCACACTCAATTTTAAAATTTTAAAATTCAATTCTTTATAAAATGTTTTAACGATGTAACCTCTTATAAAATTTTGAAAATTTGCGAAAATTTTTGAAAGTTAATTTTTTTACCGGACATGGCTAGATGAACTCGTATGTTGATGCTGATCAAGAATATATATGATTTATAGGGCAGAAATGACTCCTTCACTAAATTGGAAGCCTCTGACTATAATTAAAATACCATTTAATATATCTAAATTTTATTAAACCCAAATCTTAGGCTACTTTTTCTTAAATTTCTCCTAGTGTTATTTTGAATTTTTTTTGGTTTTTTTTTATCTACTCCGCCCGCCTCGAATTGCATTTGGAGTGCCAGGCCAGAAATGGCCCAAATGTATCTGAGCAGCGCCATGGGGATGTATCTTTGTATCTTTCGGTGTGTTTACCTTTCCCTTGTTGCATGCCTCTTGTTGCACTTTTCGTGCACCGTTTTCATTTCGATTCGGATTCGTTTCGTTTCCCTTTTTTTCCCTCGATTTCTCTGCCCACTTTAGCTCGTTTTCTCCTTGGATTTTCGTTTTTTCTGTTTTTTTTTTGTGGGCTAGGTCAGTTCAAAGTTCACGTGTTTCGCTCCTATTGATTGAATCGGTATCGAAAATCCGTTCATTGTTGGTTCAGCGCCAAGGCAACCTGTTCCCTGCCAACTAATAGATGGGATTTCAAGGAAAGTCTTCCCTTTCGACCAACAATTGTCTATTGTCTAAATTCCATTCCATCCCAAAGTTGAGTGCATTTTATACCTCATTAATTGTGAATTGCCTTTATGGGACATGCAAATATAAAGGGTAATATTTTTGGGGTGAATATTTCATCTATTTTGGAATTTATAAATAGACTTGTTTGTTTTTGCAGTGATTAAAATTCGTTGGGATAATAAATTAGGAATTTGTAAGAGCTCAGTGGAAGTTATATAAATAAGGAGGAAAATAATTTTTAAGTTGAATAGAAATTACAGTTTTTATTTGAAATTAAAAAAATATTATATATTAAAAGTAAATAGTAATATTAATTTAAAATAGTCCTCCTGTAAAATACCGGAAAATATTTATATTACTGAATTGTCCAAACTCCATCGCATACTTTCTATTTTAATTACTTGATAGATAGATTTATGACTTTTTTCCGTAATATATATATATATATTTTTTTTTTTTTCTCCACTTCCCATAAATAAGGAATTATATTTACCTCTTCCATGCTATGCATTTTTATTGACACGCACATCATGCGAACGAAGGAGAACACAGCTCTCCATAAATATATATATATTGGGTAAATAAAATCAAAAGATAACTCTCAGACCCCCTCTAGAGACCCCTCTGAGACCCATCGTATTACTCGTCTATCCAAAATTCAGGTCACTCCGACAACAGATGGCGCTGCATGCGAAATATTTTTTGCAGGAGGCATACGCATAATTTCAAATTGCTTGCATCAAATGTTATTTTTATCCAAAACAATTTCGCTCCAGGGCGGCGGTAAGCTTGTTTTTTTTTTGCGTGAGGGGGAGTAGGATAGGATATGAGGAGGTAGTGGGGTCATTTTCTGGGTGGGTGGTGCCGTTGCCTAGCACAAAACTCTGTGAATTGTTGTTCTGGGGCAATAAATTGAAATGCACAAAAGAGCAGAAAATAATACAAAAAAAAAGCAGGGAAAACTGGGCAAAAGGAAGCCGGGTCTTGGCTTGCGTCTTTCTACCAAAAGCTTGTTTTACAGCTGCTATACACTTTACAAAATATTTAAATATTATTTTATTTAGGTTAATAAATCTACGTACTCAAAAAAATTACTGAAATTTTAATTCCATATTTTTAAATGACAATATTGTTCTTCTACAAATCAAAGTTTCAAAATCTCATAAGTTAAAAATACATTAATTTTGATTCGGAAAGCTTTCCTTTGTTAGTTTTAAGTTAAGTTAACAAATCTGCATACTCAGTTTAAAACCTTAAATGTTAAACAATTTTTGAAAATTTTAACGATGTAACCCCTTATCTTTTATTGAAAAAGTCGAAAAATTTCGAAACAATTTTTTCCTAAGCGGATATACCTACATAGATCGACTCAGCTGTTGATGCTGATCAATAAAATATATAATTTAAAGGGTCGGAAATTATTCCTTCTTTGCATTACAAGCTTCTAACCGAAATTTTAATACCATTCTTAAAGCAGATATATTTATCAGTATTTGTATATGACAATTTTTTTCTATAAATAAAATATTCAAAAACTCATAACTAAGCCAAAAATTCATTAATTTGAATTCGGAAAGCTTTCCTTTGGTATCTTTTTTTGGTTTGTTATCGAAATTATATTTCGAAATATTGTGTTAATTTTTTAAAAGATATTCTTCAAGTGCATTTGTTACTGTTGCTACGATTTAGTTGCTGGCCACTTGTCATGCGAGAAGGCAGCTCCATCTCCCAACTCTTAGCTCCCTGCTCCTTCTCCCAGCTTCTCAGCTCCAGTATTCAGCATTCAACATTGAACATCCAACATCCAACATTCAGCATTCGGCATCCAGCATCAGAAGCAGTTCTGCAACTGCAACTGGTCGCCTTGCCCGAGTCCTCAAATTGCCAGTTAGCCAATCTGCCGCCGCTTCTCTCCTCTGTGGCAGCTTCGAAGCCCCTCCACAACAACAAGAACAACAACAACAAAAAAGAATAAAGCCCCCTTGGAAAAAAAGAGAAGCGGCGCCCCCTCTGTATCATCAACACTTTGCCTGGCCACATTTTTGCAGTTGTCGAGTGGCTTTGTTAGCGATGCGGCGGCGACTTGCAACTTGTTCTCAATTTCAGGATGCTGCAGGGGGAGTGGCTATTTTAAGGCGGGGGACGGAGTGGTAAAGAATCACTGAGAAAAATTCAAGTGTTTTGGTTTTTATTTTGAGACAAAACAGATTTCGTAGCCAGGCCAAGGTCAATAAAGTAGAAAGGTTCTTATTTTGATTAGGAGTTAAAGGTAAAGAAGGATTTTATACATAAATATGCCGAAATTAATACTGTAATATAATATATCGCACAAGTATCACATAGAAAATATTATAATCTATTATACTATATATCAAAATTGTTAATAGTAATAAACTATTTTATTTATTTAGAAAACCGATTTTCTTAAATTTATATGTTCCCTTTTCATTTATCTTATATATCACTCAAAATACTGATTTATTGCATAAATATCTATAAAATATCGATATATGACATTAAATAAAGTAATGACAAAATATATAGAATATCGATTTATGCATCATCGATATATAATATAGCTTTAGTATCACATCGAAAATATTATAATCTATTATATATCAAAATTGTAAATAGTAATAAACTATTTAATTTATTTAGAAAACCGATTTTCTTAAATTTATATGTTCCCTTTTTCAATTATCTTATATATCACACAAAATACTGATTTATTGCATAAATATCTATAAAATATCGATATATGACATTAAATAAAGTAATGACAAAATATATAGAATATCGATTTATGCATCATCGACATATAATATTTATTAAAGAAATATTTATAATTTTTTATAAGATATTAGTATCCTTAAACCTTTTTAAATTTCCCTAACTTAAGATCCAATTTCCTTCCAGTGTACCACTGGTTTAAGTCCGAAGCTGGCCACTTTACAGCACGAAAGAGACAGGTAGTTAAAAAGAAAGAAAACCAGACAGAGACAGAGAGAGAAAGAGAGAGAGAGAGAGAATAAGAGAGAGGGAGCATCATGTAACCAGATAAAAAAGAAGAAATGGCAATGGGAATTGCAATTTGAGGCGCAGCATCTGTGTGTGCGGGATTTTCCAGTTGCTGTTGTTGTTGTCTTTATTTTTATCTCAAGTTGTTGCTGTGGCATTTGAAACAATTTGAGCTAATTTCTGTAAATGTAGATCTTATCAAAAGAGGAGTTTACTCTCCCAGAGATTACCATGGAGCTCCAAAAAACACAACCAGCACGTGAACTAAACAAGATACTGTGATTACACTTTAAGGGAAACACCATTTGTGGGTTAAGTGCAAGACCAAAAAGGATTGTGGGTTTTAGGAAAATTCTTGGTATTATAAATTGAACTTAACAAGGCTTAAATATGAGCTAAAAACATTTTATTATCTTTTAAAAGAAACATAAATTCATATATCAAGTTTCCCATTAAATTATTTATTACTTAATTTAAGTTATAGCTAAAGCTTACATGGTTTTTGGCATTAACACCCCCTAAATAGCTTCATTTAATTCCAATAAACACTCTTCTTAAATGCCGCTAATTACAAGAACCTTTTAAAATAGTAATTAGCATATTTTTACTTGACACACAACTTGGTAGTTAAGTCAATGCCATGTCTTAACCATAAAATAAATCACTCTGCGGCAAATGCAATTGAAAATTGCATCTGACATTACCATGGCGAACTTTATCAAAAGGCCATATAACCGTTGGTTCATCGTCATCGATTCTGATTAATGTAATGGAGAAACGGAATCGCAGACACTCACCTGGAAAGAAAAAGCAAAAAGAGCCAAAGAGCAGGGCATTAGTATAAATGAATAAATTTCACAGAGATCAAGGTCAAAATGAATCCGATACTCTCGAACGGAAATCAAAGTAATCGCATCCTTTTACAGAGCTAATCTTTCATCTTTCCCCCCACCAAAAAAGAAAAACTAGGAGAGAAAACCGGGAAAAGCTTCTGCCTCAAAGGCACAAATAAAAACAAACCAAAACGAGCAGGAAGAAACTTAACCCAATTCAATGAACGTATCTATGTCAACATTGTGGTTGTTGCTGGTTGTTATCAGGCCATAAATGTTTCAAATACAACAAAAAAAATAATAGAAAAACCACCAAGAAATACAAGAAAATACAGAGTGGCAACGGGGAGTTAAAATCGTTGGGAATGCAGTGGAGACCATCTATATTTGAAACAGCAATAACAACTTGAAAATAAAATAAAACGCGGCATCTGAAACTAGTCTGGCTAGATATTAAAGTATCTGTGTGCCAAAGCGGGTGGCACTGCATTTGTATCTGTAAGTGCACAAGTATCTGTGACTGTGCAAGAGACCCATTTCGAGTTCAAGATTCTTTTGTGACTGCTGTCTTTGGCATTTTTTCTACTTCTTGGATTGAATTCCATACTCCACAGACGGTAATCGCAAAGCTTAAGAGTATTTAAAGCTAAATATCTTGTAAATATTAACAAGGTGGATATCTTAAATATATATTTCACTTCAAATTCAAAGCTTAAGTAATTATTTAATTAATTTTCACAGACCTCTTACTCAAGTGTAACCTGCCCAAAGGTAGGCCACAATTTGTATCTACTGAATACCAGGTATCTTATAGCAGTAAAGTACTCAACTCTACCATTTCTCATGTCTTGTGCTTATTTTATATGTGCCAGTGTGGATTTTCCTTATTCTCCAGCTTTTCACATGGAGACAAGGCAAAGAGATAGTGAGTACCCGAAAATACAACTACTACTGTATGCATTGTGAGGATTTCAATTTGAATTGCATTTGATGTTTGCAGCTTAGTTGGATTTGAAATGTGGTGGTGTTGGTGTTGGAGGAGGGTTTTCCCATTCCCCTCTCCATTCTCCTCTCAAACTGGTTCTAGTTGAAGAAAATCCAAAGCAAATGCTGCCATTCATGTCGTTCGCCTGTCCCCGTTTGCTATGTTTGAGATATTGCAATGAAAACTGCACACAGAAAGATGCTCATACACAGAGGGAAAAATGTGTCTACTCGAGAGAAGACTAAAGGATGATTTAGTAGAGAATTCATAAGTATTTTAATTAATATTAAGAGAATTATAGGAATACGGGGGAAGTATTTAAGAATTCTTTAAGCCTTTGCTTAGACCACTCTTACATTAGGATTTTAAAGTCAAACTGCTTGGATATTTAGTTCACAAAATTTATTTATTTATTTATTTTATTTTAAGACATTAAAAAATATATATATTTAATTCAGAATCTCAAGCTTGAAAATAAAATTAAATTACACTTTTTCTCAGCGATAAATATTTAAAACTCCTAAGAATATCTTCGGCTTTGCCTACTTTCTCCAATTTAATTTAATCCCTCAAATTTTAAATCGGTATACTGAATATATTCTTAAAAAACACTTATTTCAAATTACATTTTCCATATTTTATGACTTTTTTGATCAGTGTAAGCTCCATATCTAAAGAAAACCACACCAAACCGAACCAAACTGAACCATCATCTATCGCTGTCTTGGCTCAAGTTGGAGATGGTTCGTTGCATCGACTTGTGCCACATATTTTGATGGAATGCTGGTGGTCTTTTTTTTCCTCAACACCATTGAAAGTTTATTAAAGTTTTAAGCACACATTGCTTCTTCAAGTTCTTTGACTTGTCCTGTCTCATCCTTAAAAGTCATAAAGTGATTTTTGGGAGGAGGTTTTCTTTGAAAATATGTTGCTGAAAAGTTTGTTTAATTTACAAAAGACAAATATGGGAGGTTTCAAATTTATGATTTAAATAATATGAAATGTGTGTTAAGTTGAATTTAAGGTCAAAAGATCTTACATATAATTAATGGGCAATTTAAGTTTAAAGAACGTTTAATTTGTGTTATTTTGTAGTACTATTAAGAACTTAATTCTCATAAAATTTAATTTGACTAAAGAAAATTCTATTCCAAAATTTTTTCTAGTCATAATTTTTGTTACAATCTGCTGAGAATAGTTTTATTTTAAAGCTTTAATATCAATTTTGATTGCAAAATCATATTTATTATTATTTTGACACTCATCAAGTGTCAGTTTTTTAAATTAAAAACTGTCTTGTCTGTCTACTCTTCTAAACAAAAAAAAAAAACTTAAAATCAGTGTCATTTCTTGGTCTTTTTCCCTGTCTTAACTCGTTTTTTTTCCCTTATATAGCTAGTACCCGTATATATATTTATTTATTTGCCACATGAGGCTAAGGTAAAGAAGGGCATAAACACTTTTCAAGGTCCAAGATTCAGTCGGTGCTGGTCAGTATAAAAAAGTGGGACAATTAAAACGTTGCAGAAATCATCATAAAGCGAAGATCAGGTTTTCATTTTTACAACAGCCCTTGGAGATATCGGTTACAGATCCATCTTCATCTGGGTTTTATTCCCCTTTCGAAAGACTTGCTTTAATTAAAATTGAGAAGGAGGCGGAGGAGAAGATGAGCCATCCTGGCCAAGTGTCAATTGGTTATCACTCATAATAAGTGATCATAATGCTGGACAGATGTATCTTGCAGATCGTTGAACCCGTAGATACTTCCAGTTCCCTCCCCTCCTTTCGCTCAGTGTGACTCCAATTGGCAGAATACGCGGAATTCCAGCCTTTGATTCGGTTAGGTGTACTCGTTTTGTATCTGCCAGATGCATCTTGGGTATTTTTAGCTTACTCTGCCACATCGTCGTTGCAGTCTCCACTGCACTCCACTCTCTTTTCTTTTATTTTTATTTTATTTGTATTTTTTATAGGCCCAAGGCGGATTTTACCTCATTTAAACTTGTTCCTCCTTCTCCATTGGCTTTTAGCTACTTCTCTTGCGGCTTTTTCCCCCCTATCAAGCTGGCGCTGACTTCTACATACATCTACGGCCTTAAATCGTAATGATAGGTGGTTCCAGATGCGTGTTTATGACTCCCCGGGAATACCCTAGATAAGTGGGAATTTTCTAGATTTTTTCCTTAAATATTAAGGCAGGAAGGACTAGGAGAGTTGAAGGATTAAAGAAACTTAAGTGGCCTGACTCTTTAATTTAATATTTGCGTTAAGCTAATAAATAGTTCAACACTTTTTATTAGCTTTTTTGTCCTTTTCAGTATAAAATTTATACAGATTTAATGAATCCCTATTATCTTTATTATATACACTCTAGAGAAAATACATTTTATTTATTAGGTTTATTAAAAACCAATTATAAAGCAAAAATTCGTGCCACAAAAACATTGAACAAATGAAATTATATACCAAGCGGAATAACAAGGTTAAGCATATAGATTTAAAAGATATCATGGGGAAAACTAATAATTACCTACAAAATTAAGTTGAACAATTTAAAACAGAAAATAAATTATTTTGTGGCACGCTTTTAAGAGAGTTGGTAAATGATTCTAGTTTAATATAAGTAAAAGAATGTTTTTAAGAGAGTTTATAAAATATTTTCTTGTATATATATATATATATATATATTTATTTATTTATTTTTTATTTATTTATTTATTTATTTATTTTTTATTTATTTATTTATTTATTTATTTATTTATTTATTTATTTATTTATTTATTTATTTATTTATTGATTTATTTATTTATTTATTTATTTATTTATTTATTTATTTATTTATTTATTGATTTATTTATTTATTTATTTATTTATTTATTTATTTATTTATTTATTTATTTATTTATTTATTTATTTATTTATTTATTTATTTATTTATTTATTTATTTATTTATTATTTATTATTTATACAAAGGCTCCTTTGAAACTGAACATTTTTAAACAGCAAATAAATAATTTTGTGGCACGTTTTAAAACAGTTGGAAAATGATTGTTGTTAAATATTATTAAAAGAATGTTTTTATAAGGCCCAATCAAATATTTTCCCATATGTATTTAGACAAAGGCTCCCCTTTAATTTAAAAAATGAGAAACTTGTATTAATCAGAAACTTTTTTGTTTGAATTTTTATCTTGTAATTCCATTTCCCGTCTCTGAATTGTTAACCACTTCCCCCCTAAAAAGAGTATCTCTGCATCTCGTCAGGCCTTTCTTTCTGGTTTTTCCCCGCAATCTTCACCATCATCATCAACATCATCATCTTCATCTTCATCGTCATCGTCATCATGCTGTAATTGTTAGACTGTAAAACTTTGGCTTTTGTATGCGCACTTTCTCCTTAAATGCTATTTTTCGTGAACATTGTTTTCGCCGTCAGCCAACAAGTTCCCCTCTGTGCTTCTTTGTGATTTTTTACCATTGCTTTTCAAGATTAGTTGCAATTGTTAAGGTGAGGGAAGTGGTTAAGTTTCGTGTATATACATATATATGTACATATCTTTCAACATCTAATTTGTGGCTTTCCTCGACTCGTTTCCGTCTTTTTCGCACTCCCTCGCAGATTTTCCTCGCTTGGCTCGTTGATTTTTTTGACATTTCTCGCGCAATCTGTAATTTCTGGTTGTTTTTTTTTTTGGCACTGCGAAAATTCCCCATAGGTGTTTAATTGGCATTTCTTAGTGTCGCAATTTTAATGATTTAATTTTGCGTTTTTGCCGTCAGTGTTTTGTGCGGAAATTGCTGTTTGTCGTACAGGTTGCAGGTTGTCCCGTTGCACTTTTCCACTTGGGTGTGTTGACATGCGTCAAGCCACCGAAAAATCGGACAATGGCAGGGAAAATGGAAAATGGAAATGCTAATGGTAATGGTAATGGAAATGGAAATGGAAATGGAAATGGTTCAATCCAGTTGGGGGAAA